CAGGAACCTGCAACGAACTTTCGAAAGCTGAAGCACATGAACTGACAGGCGCGGCAACGACCCCCTGGAAGAAGGGAGATAGACCAGTCTACCCATTGGTTGAATGACCACACATCTGTTTGCAGGATTGCGACCAATGCTTTAATGGCTTTGACTGAAGAACCCATCCCAAAAGAACCTATGGCCCCCCCCCTTCTTTGCCCGAAACAAGAACCTGATCTTCCCAACCTTCGCACCAAAAGGTGGATTTCACCGAAGGACCTTCTTCAGTTCGACCCCAACCGGGGCCAACAAAGGTGGTTTGTGACTTCTTCACTAGGACCCGGTTCCGTACGGCGCGAGTCCGCCGCGCCGTGCCTGACCGCTGTAGCCCAACGACTTGATCGCCACAAGTACCTCGGCTCCGTTCACAGCGGAGGACGCGGTCGTCGATGGTCGGCGGGAGAAGGCGTACGGAGAAAACGGGTCGAATCTCATGTGGTTTTCCCCCCTGCCAAGGGGTGGTGCATTCCCCAAAAAAAAACACATGGCCCCTGAGAATGGCGCGTTGATGCTTGGAAGATTGTTTGAGTAAAACCAAAGACGTCAAACAACAACAAAAATATATTAGAATGGTCTGACGAACAGAATTTTGGGGGAAGTTCCATCAAGATCCTTTTTTACTTCACCAAGGAAAGGTACTGTATATAGTATTTTGGACTTCTAGGGTTATATACAGTTATAATCATTTATATATATATATATATATACGAGTCATTAATACATGTCGGGAAAACAACCTCTTTGTAGAGGAATGTGATAGTTTTTGCAGGGGTACCAGGCTATTGGGCTTTTTGATAAAGAACAAATTGGAGGAGGGAGTTCACTTCTGGTTGAAACAACTTGGACTATGACAAAATGCTCCATCAATCAAAACATCGTCATTTCATGAAGGGTCTCTGATTCATCTGAACAGATTTCTACATGTCAGTTTGGCCTCATTTTGCTGGAGGTGGTGATATAGAACACTATACTCAATTCAATGATCTCAACTAAATATTCAGGTCTAGGTGAAATACTCGGTCAAACAGGACCTGTAAGGATTTTTTTGCCCCCCAAAACAAGTGCCGCAAAACTTGTTGCCCTCACTCATATCCTGCAGGATGCACAAAGCATCTGGAGAGTCATATCGGAAAGCATGGCAATAAGAAAGCCGAGAGCATGTCCTCCATAACCCGCAGTCGCATAACCTGAACGTGGACAACGTGAATTCATGCCACTGCAGTGAGGCGTTTTGAGATCCAACCAGTCGCAAACCAGCAGTTCAAGGTCCAATTCCCTACAGGTCCAGTTTGTCCCAGTACAACCAGTACAACCTCTCCCTTTACCTCCTTGTCTGAGTAGTGCTCTCGAATCACCATCTCCAGTAAAATGTCGTCAAACTGACCTGTAGGCATCGAGTTTATAGTGCAACTTTCTCTCCGCGTATCTTTCCTTTCATCCTTAGGCCTGATCCACGTCTAGATTGGTTTGCTATGAAATGCTATGAATTCTTGGAGGCACAATGGGGCCTGGACACTCATGGCTAGGGTTCTGACCCTCACAACCAGGCTTTTGGACTGGACAAACATGCAGCCGTTTCAAGATCCATAAGCCTCTGGGCGATCACGATCTAGTAAAGTTGACTTAACGTCAAACAAGATAAGGACATAATACTATAACCATCGTAGAAGAGCGTCATACCATCCGATTGCCATACCCTAGGGCTCCAACTACCTCCTGAGAAGGTGGTTGGACCATGTTAGACCCCCAAAACCCATCCCAACCACCTTCTCAGGAGGTAGGCCAGGAGCCGTAGGGATAGTGACTGCTTAACTGATTTCTCCGGGTCAAGTTGAATTCTGCGGGTCCCCGCCTATCTGATGGACCACTCGTCCGACGGAGAAGCAGGCGGTCAAGGCTAAGGCGGGCAGTGGGAAAATGACTCCCGCCAAAAGGAGGCACAAGACAAAGGCCAAGCTGTTCTCCTCAGATGCGCCGAAGGAGACCAGACTCGGTCGGAGACTCGCGCGCCGGAACTCGGATCCGGTCAACCGGAGAGAAGAAAGACTTGTTCAAGACTTGTTGTCGTTCGAGCCTTCGCCTTTACAACACGTGAAATGAAGAAAACAAGCTCCTACTTGTCCTAACCTGTCGTCATCAATTAGAATGCATTAGAGTGCTTAGGCCATACCTTCTTTGATGATAAACACCATGCACATCCTGCAGAATAAACCTGAAACTCCACAGTAATTGAGCACCACCTAACGGGCCGATTGTGTAAAGTAGGAGAGCGACGTAAATGACCAGCAGCTACTTGATGCCAATATGTTTGTGTTGTGTCCTTTGTGTCCTTCATGACGCTCATCTTGCAGCAAAGCTTCAGTAAAGTGGAAGAGTGAACGGTTAGCCCTGTTGTAGCACCCCACAGGGCCTTGAGTCTCAAGAACTACGTAAGGCGCATCCTCTTTGGCACCCAGCTGCTTGTAGATCATCATGTTTGCCCTCAGGTTCCCAGAGTTCATGCGCATGAGCATGTGCTTGTAGATCATTGGGAATTGGTTGATCCAATGGACCATCAAACCAAACAAAGCGGCCGCAGCGTACAAGTAGCCATGCTCGCCCTGCGAGGTCGTTGTGGAGACTCCCGACGGGCTATACATGGTATAGATCATCTCCTTCTCCCTACATCTCTACAGGCTCAAGGGAGAACCCAGAGTTCATAGGACTTGGGATGATGATGGTTCACTGCAGGCCTTTCTCTAGAATAGTGACGTTCTTATTCTCCGACTGTGACACCGCCCCTGTTGTTCAGAAAGCTCGAAATCTGTTCAATCGCACCTCAAAATGCTTGCCAAACCAACGAACTGAGGCATCACTACAGCACATCATCTGCAATGTGATTGAACAACTCATAAGTACTCAGCAGTCATCCGCATCTGGGAGAAAACACATGTAACGTTCAATCAGTGCCAGCCTTCACCAGATTGGCGATATTCTGTTCATACTGCTGGGTGTCCCACTTCCTCCAAATGGCCACAGCAATGGCCCCAGCAATGGCGCGCGGGAGCGCGAGGCCCAGAAAAATGATGGGCAAGAACTTCACGGACCCTGCCATCGAGTCCGCACGTCCGCGATCGAATTCGCCCTCTCGATCGAGTGGGCGAACAAGTTCGCCGCAGGTGGGCTGACTCACGAGCCGGGCATGGGTTCTGGAGAAAAAGAATTCCTCACCAGTACGTTCCATCTGTTCGTACAGTACGTGGGGCGCCCCTAATCCCCTAAAAAGGTTAAAGGTTATCCACTGACTGGGTAGCTGGGTAACCAAATCAGAGAGGGCAAAACGTGTTCCGCTACTTGCAACATGGTCGTGCAACCTCCAACACTGTCAAGCTAATCTAGCAAAACGTGTTCAAAAACGTTGATGCTCATTCTGCTTACAGAACCTGATCCAAAAGGGGTTGATGATGTGGCAGGACATTTGTACACTCCACCGGGCAATGAAAAATGGTGGCTGCGCTCAAGAGTAGATGTATTCAAAATATTCAAAGACACCTTGATGAGGGTCACAGGGTCAAATGGTCAAGGTCACCGCTAGGTCCAATGAAATTGACTGCATGCACATGCAACCAAAAGAGTTCAACACTGCAGTCATTTGGGTCTATTCAACAACCCCCTGCAAACCTCTCGACCATCCTAAGCCTTTTCGCGGTGCCGCCGCGTGCCGCGTGTCGCCTAAGGGATCCAGCTCGGGCATCTTCTCTTCGTCCGCTTTCGCCATGGTCGAAGAAACCGTCGGAGACACCACCGGGTCGTCTACTACGTCACTCAGAACTTCGTCCCCAAAACTGCGGTGTTGGCGCGAGGACCGCGAGGACCAAGGGGCGGAGGTCGGCAGTGAGTGGGGTGTGGAGGGAATCGGGAAAGTGTCGCTCACAATTAGAGATTAGCTTGGATCGTGTCGCCCTCATTCTTACATCATCATACGTCGCACGTGAGTCACATGTCGCTCGAACGGGGCCTGTCCGCTGAGGTGGGTCTCGTGTGTTTCGTGGGTCTCGCGGCGTCTCCTGAGGGCCCATGTCCAAGTTCTGAAGGAAGCCTTGGCTCAACGGAGGAGCCCAGGCTAAAGCGCTGCGGCGTCGCGCTGCGCATTGCGCAAGAGGTGCAAGGGAGTGCAAGGTGAGGTGGTGAGACACGACCATGGACCACACAGATCCACATGGAAGTGGACTCATGATACTACTCATGATACTCATGCTTGACTGGGAGTCGACTTCTGATTGTCCTGCTCCCCACTGGTGCTTCTTTAGGCATTCCGAGTCCATGGGGTTGGATCGGATTGCAGGTGCCATCAGTTGACATCGGCAAGGAGAGGGAAAATAGGGTTAACTACACTTGCCCCAAATCATCCATCCATGCCAAAGGTTCCAAAGCTTCCAAAGCTTCCAACCAGAATCAAGTTGCAAAGATTGTAACTCTTCCAAACAGAATCCTCAAAAAGTGTTTGCTCTGCATTTTGATTGGTTATGTCACGTCCTTCCATGTCCTTCCTATAGGCTGCATAGAGCCAAGGGAGGTGGCCCCTCATGGCCAGGTTTCTTGGAAAATCTCGGAAGGCACTCTTTGGGACATTCCAATTCGACCAGCTCCTTAGAACCGACCTGTGGCCGGAAAGATACAACCAATGTAATATATAAAGGAACACAATCATATGGCCGGAAATGATACACCCTAGGGCTCCAAGTACCTCTTCAGAAGGTGTTTGGACCCTCCAAACCCACCCCAAACACCTTCTGTCTCAGAAGGTACTTGGAGCCCTAGGGACAATGATGAAAAAACACTATTGATTAAACAAAAACGACCCAGACCCTTGCTGCCTGTGACTGTTCGATCCAACTAAGCCCGGTTGCACCAATCCTCCCCGGTGGCTTGGTCTTTGATGACCTGAGACTGCCAGGATGGAGCAGCTGAAGCGCTGAAGGGCTCTGTTTGGCCACTGATTTAAGTCACAGGTTCGCAGGACGTGACATCATGACGTGGCATCATGACCTGACACTTGACGATGCAATACCCAGAAGGCAAAAAACATCACCGAAAACTACAGTTGCAACATGCCCATCAGCGTGCCATCCTGTAGCTATATTCCTGTAGGTGCCTTGACCGTTTTCCCTCTGCGTTCCGTTCCCCAGCACCTCCTGCGTCCAGCACCTCGGACTTGGCGACCCCCACGCAGTGCCGATGCGCAAAGGTTCCACGTTGCACGTCTTGCCCCGTGATGCCTTGGATCGACGGCGATCGCCGCGGCGACCAGCTCCCAAGGGATCAGCGATGGCGGCGATGGCCGCGATGGCGTCGACTTGGGTGGTTTCGGCCACCGATCAACCTAATCGACACTACCTGTTTGGGACTGCCTGCCAGGACTGCCGACCCATTGATCCCCCTGGCGCCACCCCAACTGATCGGCATATATGGCAGTCCCATGGAGTGTCTGGGTATATAAGAAGACCTCCAGGAAATCCTCTGGAGGGGTCTGGGGTCTCAAATAGATTCACCTGAGCTTTTGCCAAATATATGACACGAGTGCACCCATGAAAAAAAGAACACTTGGCAAAGTGATGTTCGATGGGCCCAGTTGGACAGCGTCAATTGCTGGTACTCCTGTTGGCTACAAGCAACCACCTGGAATCCGCATGCCAATCACCTGGAATTCGCGTGCCGAGGTTGGTCCTTGACATGACAGGTCAAATACTAGCATGATGCTGAAGCCGATTCCGCCGGGCCACCGGCAACTGAACCTTCTTTCCATCCCAAATCATCCCAACTCCCTCAACCAGCCTTAACTCAAACAGTTGCCCCTCTGCCTTCTTTTGAATTTGCTTAAGGAGCCTGGAAAGAATCAACAACAATACATAAAAATACACTGGCGCAGGGGATTTACCTAGCAAACACCAGGTTCTTCAACCGCCTCAGGCTGTTTCGCTCCATCATCCGGCGAGAGCCGGAAAGGACACCGCCGTTTCGCTCCCAGCTCCCCCACGGCTCACATCATCAGCTCTTTTTCGCCACACACCGACACCGTCGGGCGCTCCAACGCCTGTGGCAGCAGGGCTCGGGCCTCTCGGCTGAAGCGTGGCATTTCCAACTCAGCCACCTGGCGTTGGTGTTTGGGGCATTTGGATGAGAACGTATGAGAACAAAGACATGAGCCAAACCGCTTCGGAATAGGACAGTTGTTCAAGGTTTTTATGTTATGATCAGCAATGTTCTGGTGAAGAAATTGGACACCTCATCGAATCATTGTTTGCGTGAACTTCTGTCGCCTCCATCGCTAAACGATGTCCATCTCCTTAATTCTAGTGATCCTTCTTGGTTCTTGACATTCACCCTATCCCCCAAACACTCCAATATGTCTACATTGACCACTGAACCCACCCCTGGCCGTTTCTCGGCAGTCCTATGGCAGTCCCATGGAGTCTGGGCCCCACCTCGCGATCCTCCCAGCGATCCACCGGATCCGCCTCATCTTGAGATCCACCGGATTCGCTCCACCCAGCCCCCGCCTCCCGGCCATTGGTCCCAACGACTCGCCCTCGCAAGTGGCTCGAGCGCCGTTGCAGCTCCGCCAGGGCCTCCGGCAGCGGCCGCCGCGGAAAGGGGTCCGGCGGCGCGGTGAGGACACTGACGGAGATCCAGTCCTGACCGTGGTGGACTTGTAGAGACTGGAAGGTGTGAATGTGTGAAAACCGAGGCGTTTGGAAGATTGAAGATACACCGTTTTTGCTCACACTCAGTCTGCTTAATGAATGTCCTTGCATGCTGCTCATATGCCTCCCTCAGGGGTCCACCAACTTCCATCCTTTCTAGTCATATCCACATTTAGCAAATGCATGCCAATTCCAAAATCAAAGAAACACCACAACATTCTCTCCAAACCGACTTCCTCTGAACATGTTTCGAAAAGAACGGGGTCTCCTCCGACTTGTCCACCACCTCTTCCACTTGGATGATCTGCGAGGTGTACCGACTTGCTGTGTTCGCTTGACCTCGAGGATTCGCTGGGAGCTGAATTTTTGTTGGGCTTCTGATGCTTCTGAGCTAGTGCTGCTTCTTTGGAGGAGTAAGGCATTGATCCAAGCTACGTCCCTTGCAAGCCCTGCAAATGCTCAATGAACATCAAGCTGACTGAGCTCGCAGCCCCGCCCAGTGCGCCACAGAAAGCCCGCCGCTCCGGTGGACAGGACGTTGTCGGCCACCAGGACGCTACCAGCCTTCAGCAGCTGCAAACGTTCTAGAAGGTCGACATCCTCTTCCTTACAGCGCAAGAACGCAAGGCTCGCGGCTTGGAATCAAACCAAGTGACCAAAATCCTCTGAAACGGATCATCCTGAAAGTCTCCCTGGCTGCTACCGAAGTCCAGCCAGGACGGGTGAAAACCGGATGATGGGCCATTGAGGACGCCAAGAATGAACACCTCCCAACAACTGCCAGGAGCCTGAGCTACTGTAACCTCCCATGATGTCCGGGCTGGACCTCAATGCCTTTCATCGCTTTTCTTCACAGGCTCTTGATGGCTCTTGGCATGTGTTCACGCCCGCACCAGGCTCAACCGTTGGGACACACTGGGCCGCATCATCGACCCGCAGGACAGCCAGTCTCACCTATGTGGATCCTAGGGGGCCATATCAGCAACCAGATGCCTAGGATGGTGGGTCTTCGCCCTTGGAACCAGTGGATTTTCACCGTCCTATATGGGTCGGCAGTCTGGAAGTCCCATATGGAGCGCCTCTGGGACCTGGACCTGGATGTCTGTCAGCCGCTGCGAGCCGCTCCCTACCGAGCCCCAGCGGCATACTCCGAGCCCCAACGGTCCATGAGCACCGCGGCGAAGCGGCGCGCGCCCAGGCGCGGGAGCACGGCACGGCTGTGGCCTGGTGGTGAGGCGACCGCGAGGCACGAGCGAAGAGACCCACATGGAGGACTTAGTCGTCCAGCTGTCAATTCTCAGGGTGTAAAGAGTGGTGTAAAGGTATATGTAACAATGCCAGGGAATTGTGGAGCTGGTGAGAAGGAGTTGATCGGCAAAATGGTTTTCAGCTTCTAAGAAGAGTTTTCCAGTTGCTCTGGGGTTCTCATCCATTCTTTGTTCTCAACGCATCAAAAAAGCGAAGCATGGCTCCAGTAAAGCGAATTCTCAGCTTAGAGCAGTCAAGCATCATATCCCATACCACCCATATATCCTAGGGCTCCAAGTACCTTCTGAGAAGGTGTTTGGGGTGGGTTTGGAGGGTCCAAACACCTTCTGAGGAGGTACTTGGAGCCCTAGGGATATATAGTCTATTGCACATTCACCTCCATTGCGTTGGTTGATGTACAGTAAATATATTCAAGTCCCACGTCCCACGGAGTGTCTGTACTGAACCCTAACCATTGTCATCCATGCAATCCATCATCCGCCGGTCGGTCAATCCCATACTACTCCCTATAGGGCTCCAACTACCTCCTGAGAAGGTGGTTGGGGTGGGTGCCAGGGGGGTCTAACCACCGAACCTGAGGATATGGGCCAGGAGCCCTAGGGACTATCATACTATCTGCATCTCTCCCTTCCCCTGGGTTTCCATGCCTGTCAACACTTGGACGTCCACACCGGCAAAGGCGAACCTCATGGGGAAAGAGTGGCCGCGGAATCTCCCCCCCAAGGCTCTGAAGGCTCGGTGCAAACGACGTGGATACCAACAGGTGACTGGAAGCCACTTCTACTGTACTGAATGATCCATTCTTGAGCCCTTGGTGGGCTTGGTGCCTCATGAAGAGGTTTTGCAGCTTGAGTCGTCTTAAGCCTTAAGCATGTTGATGATTTTTGAGGTATACGTATGATCATGGTCGGTCATGCTTCTCGCTACCCGCAGATTCGCCGCTTCATCACGCAGTCTCAGCCATCGTCGCGAAAGTGCTCACAGCATCTTCCAGGGTCCCCTAACCAGAACTACTGCAGAAATTGCCGTGTATATAGAACTCAAACCGCCAACCATTGGCCTCACACCGCCAGACCCAACTCCCACGCACGAGCTGCCCCAGCCGAGCTGCAAGACCCGTGCTACGGCCACGTGTACCGGATCCAGTTCCACCGTGGTCACCGTGGCGCCGAATCCGCGCGGCGAAGAGGTGCCGGTGCCCGCGCGCAGCGCGTGCGCCAAGCGGAGGGAAGAGGTGCCCCAGTAGGTGCCGATTTCGAAGACACCGTGGTGCCTGGGGTGAAGAAAAGCTTCGGAAAGATGTCTGACCATATCATTTTTTTCTTGAACATGGAAAGAACATACTGGGATTCACTGTGGACGAAATTCAAGCTGGAGGGAAATTCAAGCTGCCAACAGGACAGGACATGGACTAAGTATAGGTCCTCCCAAATTCCTCGACCAATCTCGGACCTGGAGGATTCATGGCAGCCATCGTCTGCTTTGCGCCAGGGCCATACCATGGTTTCATACTCATTTTCAGACCTCGTATACTGGTTCTGAACAACCCTGTCACCTGGTGATGCTTTTCAAAGACCTGCGCCGACCCCTGTCGCCACGGCCACATTCAGTTGAGACACCCACCAGCTGGCAATCCACCACCTGAGGACAACAGACAGCGGTCGAGCCGCTTCCGCAGAGTGACCTGGTCGGTCTGAAAAAATGGAGTGAATATGGTGCAAAAACCAGGAGTAATTAATCTTTTTTGAAGGGCCACAGGTTGTCTGATGCATTTGGATCCCCAAGGAGCCCGACAAAAGTGGCAGGCCGTGCTCCCAGCATGCCAGTTCCACAACATCTTTGAGCGACGCTGATGGTAGTCGTTGTTTTGGAGGGAATCTGTCTCTCTCTCTATAAATCACGTGAATCCCATCCCAGCACTGCTGGGAAAAAAGAACGCAACACCGCAAACCAACCCACAAGCGGAAAAACACATCCTATAATTGCCTGCAATGGGACAGTTTACCTCCGCTTTTCACCCAACCCAACTGATGGGTAAATATGCCAATAGCATGGTTTGTGTGGGGCGGTGCTCAACACTTTGGGTCGCTGAAAACCTGAACCCGACGAGGCGCAAACCGCGCTCTGCAGGGTGGCGCCCTTCAAGCCGCCGGCGAACTTTGCCCAGCCCAGGTTCTGCGCGACTGAAAAAGGAAATGCGTTTGTTGTCTTAGATAGATGCATGTCTCAACGTATCTGGGAAAATGGGTGCAAGTACTTGTGTTACACGGTAGCATTCACTTTGTGCCTAAAGGTCGACCTGCGTATGTCGGGGTGAAAGCCTGTGGATGAAAACTTCACTGTGTTTTTTTTTTAAATGGGGATGCTAGAAAAACCCCTGGGGTCTAGATACCAAAACCACCAAAACCGAGACAAACTTCATGTCCCAGAACTTCATTGTTTATCACCTATGCATGTCCGCTTTTCAGGGTTCTTTGGAGGGTCCCGACGAAGCTCATGCGGTGTCTCGCGATGTGACCGCATGGTCCGCGTGGGACCGCATGGTACGGCATACGCCTGCGACCGCATGGTCCGCATGGTATGACTAACCAACATGTTATAAACACATATTTATGCATACATGCACTATCACATCTCGACAGCTACTGTCGAGATATGTCGAGATTGATATCCATAAATCTCCGAAACGGCAGCTGCCGTCGGTCGGTTTCCATCCGCACTTCGCTGTGCAGCGCGTCCTCCTGTCCAAACTCATCGAGTGCTATGAGGATGCCGTCCACATCGAGGGGTGCCACCTGTGACCAACGTCGCTAGTGCGAACCACGCGGGGGACTAAGATCCGCAACTTTCTTTCAAAGGTTCAAGGAACAGGAGGGGAAGTTCGGATTTTTATGTTCGCCGCACAGATGCTCAAGGAGCAGGATTGAAACTCTAGCTCCAACACGTTCTCAGCAAATTGGGCACAAAGATCAGAGAGATCTCAATGAATAAACCCAATCATGGCAAAGTCAAACCAAATTAATTACATTCTAACGAAGTTGGATCTTGTGCCACCTACTTGGAGGCTGGAATGTTCCACCTCCACATTACAAGACATCAAGCAGTGCAAAAGCCATCAAAAGCCCCATCTCTGCCTTGCAAAGGATGTGTTTCAGCATGGCAGCAGCTTGATGGTATGGCCGCACACTCGGCTCACTGTCAGCAATCTCTCGTAGCAGCGCTGCATTTCGCAGCCCACCCTGTGGGCTTCGCAGGGAACACGAAACAGAAGCCTGCATTATGCAAGTCTTCCTATAATTATGATTCTGCGCTGGAAGAATCTGCGCTGGAAGAAGTCGTGTGTCATGAGTGCAACAAAATTATCATAATCGTCCAACATTCAGCATTGCATCCAGGAATCAAGTAAACACAACATGACCTCACATTCAGGCCAGGTCAAAGAGCACACAAGGTTTTGAAGAGTTGGGTGGCAACTTTGCATTGCTCAACCAAACTTGGAAAAAACATAGCTGACAAATAACACAAACACAACAGTACGCCATGTAAAATATGCTATAGGAGACAATGCCTGAAGAAGCCAAACAAAACCAAGAAACAACAGCAAGGCCCCACGATTTATATATGTGTCGAAACTTGTTTCAAACTCTTCAGTCACTCACCTTCACCGTGGCGGCGGCAAACCGCCGCAGCCAGGCCGAACACCGCACCGCCCCACGCGCGCCGGGCGCGAGGTCCATGGCCAAGCGCCGCAGGACGCCGCGCTCGGCCCACGCGGCGGAGTGCCTGGCCACGCGGTCGCGGTCGCGGTCGCGAAAGCGGTTGTTCGGTCGCCACCCCGGCGGGCTCGGGTGTCTAAGCATTTGGCTGTTCATTGAGCAAAAATGGCTCAACCCTGTTGCAGTGCACGAGGACTGATTGTTAACCTGCTGAGCAGCCTCTATATCCTCTACATCCCAAATTTATTTTGCAGTGGTCTTTGTGGAAAAACGGTTGATCAACGACAAAAGCGTGAACCATCACACTGGATGCACCGGCTGTCACGTGTTCTTTCAAACGCTGCTGTGGCGAAGGTATGCGGGGTGGAACACGGTGGAAACTATGGTGGAAATGCGTTTTGCTCGATTCTTTCAAATCTGAAAAGAAAAAACAAAAAACAGAAAACCTCTGCCAAACTGGGTACGTAGGGTCAACCACCACACTAGAATTGGAACTTGGCCCGCCAACTTGCGGTCCCTCTCTGACAAGGCGATGTGCCAACTCACAAACATAGGGCTCCAGGGGCAAATGGCGTGAAATCGACCGATACCCCTGGACCAACATTACACCGAACACACGGATCGTCCTTAACCGACTGACTGGGCCGCCACGGACAGGGGATTGATCCTGACCCATACTGCTCAAGGACCCCCAGGCCTCTCACATTCCATCAAGGCAGTGCCCATGACAGTGCTTCGGTCCACTGCGCTCAAGGAGTGGAAGAGATCGCTGTCAGCCAAGAGCAGCACCTGGAACTTGGAACCCCCCCCATTGGTTCTAGAGGAACATGGTCTTCCAAGGGTCCATGTTCCAACTCTATGTTAGTTCCAGGCAGTGCATATCCAAGTGGAGCGCAGAACAGCAGCATAGGCATCAAGCAACATAGACACAACCACAGCAGAATGATAATTCATTGTATATTCATCTACGCTGACCCCACAACCCCAAACGCTCCATGTAAGTTGCATATTTACCAACCTTGAGGTGCTTTGATGCATAAAATAACTATGCCACTCCCATCGGCCGTGCCTGGGAAATCGAATCAACATACCTCAAAAGGCCATGAATGTGTGCTTCCTTGTGCCCCAAATGACTGTCACTGATTCACTCTCTTCGATTCGATCCACCCGCACTGCTCCAACCTCCTCCCATCGACCCGCACTGCTGCAAACCGCCATGGCCGCGGCAGCGCTGTTGGTGGCGTCCAAGCGTTCGGAGGACATGGACTGCAAAAGCTGTAGAGCACACGCCTGTCTGGGCAAACAGGCAGACAATGCTTCTCCACACAAAATCAAACAAGAACACATCCCAGGAGTCACAAAGGGGTGCCTATTGGAGGTTAGGGGTGCCCAGCTACTCCACTCACTTAGGAACTAAACACCAACCCCTTTGTCTCCTGGTCAACAAACTTTGGTATACTTGGATTGGCTTGAGGAACTGGGAATATGTCCCCAGAAGGGGGTTCACCTATCAGGGAAAATCCACAATCACCTTATAAGCAAACGACAGCGGGGAGCTGTTGACGATGCACACCAAATGCAATTTGTTCACCTGCTCAACTGTCCGAGTCCAAGGTGCCCACTGCCCAGAAGCTTCGCAGCTGCGAATCGCTGCGCCATATCCTGAGGATGTTGGCGTCCGTCCACCAAATGGTGCAAACGATCGCAAATGGATGGTTGAGTGGGGATCACAGGCATCCAGTATAAGCTGCAAAAGGATTTGTTTCAGGTTTGGCCGTCGCAGCTCATTTCATTAATGGTGGCCTTGTCTTCACGTCCCATCAAGTTCATGAAGTAAAACGTCCTACTCTCTCTCTCTCTCCCCCCTTTTTGGTGCATGCTGTGAGTCTGAGTCAGAATCCAAGCTTGCATCAGAGCCATCATTGCTAGATCGAAACGAAATGTAGACTGTTAATATATAAAACCGCCCTACCAGAATGGCTTTACTTCTCCAGAGTTGGGGGGTTTTATGGTTTGTATGAATGACATTGGGACTGACATCCGGGGATGATTAAGGTTTTCTTCTAGATCAATGGGGTACAATCCCCTAAAGTGGACAAAACCATGCCGGAAATAGAATTAAAGGGCATAACCTAGGAGGGTCGGCCCCGTAGCCTTGGCAGATTTTGTTGGATGCTCATCTATCCCTAGGGTTCCAACCATATCCGAAGAGGGTCAAACTAACCCCCAAACCCACCATAACCATCTTCTCAGGAGGTAGTTGGAGCCCTGGGGTATGATGGGTTGTGGTTCATGCTCTTCCGCGCCTGCTTCACTCGCTTGCACGGCAGCTTCGCGCGCCAATGCCAGCAGCTTCAATGCAGCTTCCCACGCATCGCACAGTGCGATGACAGCGCCTGGATGCGGCAGCACCCAGTACAAAGGTGTGTCGGGTCTGAGTCTGAGACTGGTATGTATAAGGGATCAAACTAAATAGCCCAAACGCTCCATGTATGCCATATGATTATGCCTACATTGCGTCTGGGTAGTATTATACATACATGGCGTCAAAACTAATGTGCATGAAATATATGGTGAACGGACATGTCGCATCTTATCGCACCATGCTTCACCTTTCTAAACGCCGCAGGCCGCACAGCGGAGGGCCGTTCTGAGCGCCCCAACTGAAGCAAATCTCGTTCGGCTGGAGGACCTGCGAAGCCATGCTGCCCAAAGATCTGCTGAGGCCACAAGAACAATCAGAGGGAGAAGCACCGCATGGTCCAAACAAAAGCTAGGTGATCATTCCATGTCCTGATGAAACAATACTCTAACTAATTGGGATATAGAGGCTGTTAGGAGCTGACTTGAGAACTATGTAACTCAAATGAAGGAGTTTCTACTGCGTGAAGCGTCTTGGGGTCCCAAATTATCAAACATCTCTTCTATGAACAACATGCCGCACGCCACCTGTTTCTTTGTGTGCCATTGTGTGTCTCTCTGGCCTTTCCAGTCAGCAAACCCCTACGTGCAACATCCGAATGAAGCATCCAGCTCTAACCAGCGATGGGAGTAAGCCAGGCTTAGACATCTCTGAATCCTGGATGAGATCAATGAACATTTATATAACAGTAACAGCGCTTGGATGATCCTGTATTCAAACATCCGCATGGAAAAAGAAACACCAATCCGCTGCTCAACATGTACAACATCAAACATGCAACAAATCACAGTTTTCATCTGTCTTCCCTTTGGTTGTTGAAAGGCTCTCACCTCAATCAAACAAAACATAGTTCACCAAGAGTGTATGTTTCTGCGTAACCATCGATCGTGAAGCTCATCGTGTAGAGCCACTTGGTGGGAAGAAGATCTGAGTCTGAGTGTGTATTGAAATAGAACGACCGACCGACCGCGTTTGTCTCGGAAACATTACATTTTACTATTAAGGGGGAATTGATGGAGACCCGGCGAGTTGTGCATGAGTTCTCCCTATTCCAACAGCACAAAAAGCGCCTCGCTGGTCATCTGCTCCAGCATCTCCAGGGCTTCTGGCCAAGTTGGGCAAGCGCAAAGGGCCTAAGCATGAGCCAAGTTGGGAATGATGCTGGGGGATCAACCAATGGGCTACTGGAGGTCTGATCAACCACACTCAGAGATGGACATTGGCTTCAACAAAAACAATCAAACATAATCAAACCTTGGGACTCCTTGGGGTATATCCCAATCCCTGTAACAAGTCTTTCTCACAAAAATGATAAATCGTTCATCAACTATCACCAGATGTTGCAGGTCATGGGACCACTTCAGCCTGGATCCTCCAAGATGTCCAGGCCCATTCCGCTGCATCCGGGAAGTCCCAGCACTTGGCCCATTGCACTTGGCCTGTTGCAATCATGAACCGTTGAAAGGGTGAATCATCGTGATGTTTCATGAACCCTAGGGCTCCTGGCCCATATCCTCAGAAAATGGTTAGACCCCCCTGGCACCCACCCCAACCACCTTCTCAGGAGGTAGGCCAGGAGCCCTAAGGGGAATTGTGAAGCCTATCCGCCTTTGGACGGTGCAATGACTCGCCATCGGGGTTCATTCATCCATCGTCTCTCCATATGGGTGGGCAATCAATGCCACACGCCATATATGGGTCGGCTCAGCTTCTAGTCCCATAGAATGTTTCCCAGTGTCCCTCAGTTTACTGTGATTTGCTAGGGAAAAGCCAAGTTTTTTAATGGTTGCCGCTGGTCAGGGTTCATTCCGCCTGACTCACCCTTCACGATGCCCCATCCAGGTGGCCGCTCCGTGGCAGACGACGTCGCGCTGCAACTGCAGCGCGGGCATCTCAGCGAAGAGCTGCAATGCAATGGGCCGATGCTCACCCCTCCTCAGCGATGAACCATTCGGCCAAGCAAGGAAGGATATCATTTTAAACCCATCCAAGAAAGTGGAACACGACTGGATGCTAAGAAACACATGCAATTGAGGTCATCAACTGTTATAGGCTTGATCTTCCAGGTGAGAGGATGCTCTTGCTACAGGGATCAGATCCAAATAACCTTCCGTGTCCTTCCCTACTTGTCTATTTTGTCTCCACTCGCCCAACTGCTCACCCAGCATGCTGTGGCCAGGGCCGAAGCCCATTTGATGGGGCCAGGGGCGGCCAGGGGCGGCCAGGGGTCGTAGCTGCAGTGATGGCCGCGGAGCATGCAACTGTGGAGGGTCGGGACTTGGCCAAAGACAAGGCCAATTGCCACTGGGAGGCCTGCGGCACGAGCCCGGGCGTGCGTGCGGGTTTCTGAGGAAAGACCTGACGAGTCATCTGCCTGATGGTCCTTACGCCCCCCCTGGCCAGCTAATAAGCTACTAAGAATGAACATGTGCAAGAACCACACAAACTATATGAGATAAGATATTGCCTTGCCACTGAAGAGAGCCAGGCTAAACCCCCGAAATCGAAATCCTTGCTAGTCACAGCAAGTGGAATGTGCATGAATTGACTAAACCATAGTCACACAGTGTTTTGCAAGATCATTACCACATGCTTAACACTACCAAAACAGGTTCCTAATTCCCAACTCAACAAAGACCTGTGAGTGTGAGCCTAGGGCTTTGTATCCTCTGATCTTGATCCTGCATCCATCCGACGGAGGAACTCCCGCACACCCCGTGACCCGCCTCTGCGCAAGCGCTAGTCACAGAATGGCAACTCAAGTGGTCAGATCGGATGCTCTGCCTCCGAGCGAGCTCGGATACAGAGCTGGTGAACCGAGGGATGGCGGGACAAAATCGATGGAACAGAACGAGCTCTGCTAGGGATGATATCAGTAATATTAATTGTATAATATTAGACATAAGGTGGATGGAAAGGCAAACATTTTGCACAGTTAGAAGGTCCAGGTAACTCGAAACAGAATGAACTGTGGCATCCCTTCATTGCAACAGGCCGTCGAATGACACCATCTTTGGCCCAAAAAACTGACGAGCCTCGTCCCATGTCACGATCGATGCCGTGAAGAAACGACGTGAAGAAATCGATCCCCCAGGGTTTTGAGCAGACGAACTCCACCTCCCTAGGCTTCCGACCACCAGTAAATAATTCGGCTTTACCGAATCAACTAAGGATTTTACACTACAAACACCAGGTCAACCCTTTGTAAACTGGTCTTGGAAGTCCAGGGACCTGTTCTTAGTTGAGTGGAGAAACCAATTCCAAACAGAACATCGCGTGGATTTCCTGGATCGGTATGGATCTGAGATCCCCCCCAAACCCATGAGTCGTCGGTTGAATTTCGGCATGCAGCTGGCACTCGGTCTTCACGATCCCATTTGGCACATGTATCAAGTATCGGTTACGTAACCCTGGGCTTCCAACCATTAATTTTAATATAGCCTTAATTTATGATTTAATGGCCTATGTCAATGAAAGAACCATCCTTGTACCAAGGATTGTACACGCCAAAACTAGGTCAACCTGGTCAACCCCTTTTGGATGGTCAAACGGAGGGCGAACGTACGTAAGAACTGGATGGTCAACGACTCCATCGCGACCGACTCCTGGATCGACCAGAGTGACCAGAGGTCGAAGACATGATCCCAAACCAGGCCGCTAGGACCGCCAAGATGTTAGCTGACTAAATTGACCGTGACCAAATGCCAAGAGGTGGGTTCTGCTTCAGCACGATTATTTTTCGAATGGTTTCTTAGGGCTCGAGATAGCTTGGCATCGTACTAGGATCCACTCGGCAACTGCCCTTGGCATACGCAAATGGATGGAATGGTGTCTTTCTTTTTGTTGGGGGGGGTCGGGATGTGTTGGGTCACAAGAAAACATTCAAAACGGTCGCTGTGCTGCCTGGGCATGGCACGAAAGAGGCCTAAGGCCTGCTCCCACTGGCCAGCTTTGTCGCAGGCCATGATGGCCGCGTTGTAAGCTGAGATCGCGGGTCGAATCATCTCCTCTGGATCGGGAGACATTGATATCTTGGGTCTATCCTATTACCAGTATATAATGATGGTGCTTAGTATATAGGGATGATGTCTAGAAAAGGCCATGTTCAAACATCGTGATGTTCTGACTTGCTTACCGACTGTTACAGTACAGGTAATAAGACAGACCCAAGATATCCATTTGCTGTGTCTATGGGTCTTTGTTGCAAGACTTCCACTGGGTTTCGTTGCCCACCGTGAAGCCATGTGAAGCCTGTGGGGCTCGGATTGGCTGCTGAAATTAAGGCACCTCCGGGCCATTGCAACTCCGGCCCTGCAAGATTGGGACAAAGCCTGGGAACTCAAACCTGAGCACCGCATGGTTGATAGATGTTGGCAGATTGGTCGACATCGCCGCCAGAGGTTTGTTCTTACTGATCCGTACTATCATTGTGTACTTTTTCAAAACACCCTTTCCTCAACACGCATGAGTACAATTGACCAACGCATCCAAAGACTCCAAGGGGCTTATGGATGCTTATGGCCTATGAGCAACTTGGATGTCACCAACCTCTCACGGACGCCACTCAAGCCCTTGCAACCCCTACCAGTATCAGCCACGATCTCAATGATCAGCTGCCCTTGCTACACCGCTCAAGCAGTAGCGGCTCTCCTTCATGAGCTGCAAGGCCTCCCTCCACTGACTCGCTGTGGCACAAGCAGAGATGACTGACGTGATGGTGTAGACATCGACCGACAAAGAGAGTCTTCCACGCCTCATCGGCAAGAGAGTCGATTCTGACCATCCGGCCAGGAAAACACTATGGCCCTTGAATTTCACATCCCACCTGGCCTGGTGGAAACAAAAGGAAACAACAAACATTTAGAGATTCAGCTTGCCTCTTCTCTTCCTTTCAGGGCATCCCACATCATCCGTCACCTTAAGACCTCACCCGCGGTTTCACGCGGTTTCAGTCCCAGCTGCGCGAGGTCAAACAGCATCAGTGCCTTTGTCCACTCACCTCATGTGCTCACTTGCCAAGTGAAGGAGCGAATCCAAGCTTAAGGCCACTCCCCCCCAAAATTCACGTCCTGTTTTCATATAAATGCTTTTTTGGGGGCCACCCGTTCATGGGAAATTTGTGCAAGTGGCTATGTGAGGCTCTAATTACATGTATATATCCCAGACGCTCCGTGAACGACGCCCGACTGGTCCCGAACCAACCCATAGGGATTGGTTCGGGTCACCCCTCCAAAGGATTTGGGGTCGCTATTGAACGCAGGGTCCGGGGTCGCGTCTGGGATATATATTTAGGCCCTTGAGTCGCGTAGTTCATATTGGTTAATATTATTCATACCAGGACACCCTAAAGGGTGTCTATTGATAGCCCCTTGGAGGTTAAGGGGTGTCCATTAACCATCCCTTGTGGGTCCTAGTATTGGTTCAATTTAGGAGGGGTTTGATATGCTGAAGGAACTGCGCCTGGTGGGTAGAGCTAGCATGCCAGGTGCTACATCTCACGAACATCACGAATCAAACGAATCAGCAGCTCCACTGAGAACATGTTGAACTAAAAAACCCCCCCGACAAAGCTCTCAAAAGGGCTAGGTACCAAAACCCAACACATGCACAAAAGGACACCCAAGCCGAAAGCCGATGATGTGCTGTTCTTTTTGCCTAGGGCTGCAACTAGATCCTAAGAAATGGTCGAGAGGCCTAACATGGCCTAACAAATCCAACTAAATGCTTTGCAGAACCTCTCCCGTTTTGTCGCAACCTTGGCCGTGATTGGGATTGGCCTCCGGCCTCCACGTGCAAAGGCGCTCATCAAGGTGTTGAGGCTCACGGTGTCCGATGCAGGCCTTGATGGATGTGGGTCGAAAGCAGGCCGCGCTTTCGCGCAACCTGCTTACGGAGCGAAGGGTGAAGGGTTGGCAAAACGGAGCCTTCACCTGGATACACCTGGAAGGGTTTATATATCCCTAACAATCCTTGGACCCTCCTTAGAAGCGGTCGATCCCTCTAGTTCACAAGGGTTCAGGGCCCCTCAAAACCCATGTTGTTGAGGGTGCCGATCCTTAGGGTTACTAGTGCAAGTATGATCAGTCTATTCAATGTTTCATACACGTGATGCCCATCGGCTTCTGCGGGATGCCCATCGGCTTCTTCTCCACTGGCCATGCAGGGCACAGGTTTGGACCGTGACCACTTGGTCCGTCTGAAACAAACGAACCTCGCACTCAGTGCCCCGGCATGGCATAGAAGAGTGCCAAGGCATCTTCCCAACGCTTGGCCTGGGAGACCAGCGGCTAGATGCAATTGATCAATCCAAATCGATGATTTTTTAAAAATTGGTCAGTACAACCTTCTGTTCGACTGGGCATGTCAATCCAACCTTCAAGAAACCTTCATGTGAAACATGCTGAAACACCTTCCAGCCCAAACCATGCGATGGCGTAAACTGGGTCAGAGCGGAACATGTAGGCCATGTTTGCATGCGTGGAGCGTTTTGGGGTATGTTTCAGTCAATATACTACTTCATATTGCTTCTACACTCCGACTCACTAACATGGAAATGGAAGGCGGGCCCTTGGAAGACCATGTTCCTTTACACACAGGTGGTGAACTCCACTTCCATGTTAGTGAGTTGGAGTGGCCAGTGTGAGGTGGGGTCCCCACCCCCACCTCTCCCTGTAGCATTCGTAACCGACTGGAGGGTGTGTTTAAGTGGACTTCTCCTGGCATTCGTAACCCTGAAACAGGTTAGCCACATGATGGAAGCTTTCGATGTGGAGGAAAATAGCGTTAACATGCGTTAACCTTGAGAAGATTGAGAAGGGTGGATGTCCTCTGGGAAAAAAATCCAAGCACGCGCTTTGACGTTGGGCAAGGTCTTGGAAGGACCTGTATCACCCTGTCCAGATTCAGGAAGCTCATCCGCACAACGATCAGTTATCTGTCAGCAAGCGGTTTCTCAAGGTTTCTCAAGCAAACCTCCCTGAGGCCGGCCTTCCCGCAGGCGCTCATCGCGGTGTTAAAGCTCACAGTGTCTGGTTTCGGCATCCTGGCCGGAGGGGCCGGCCTAAACCGCTTTTCATGGGCCAACCCAAATGCTGGAGGGGGCGGACCTATGGGTCCCCACATACCATCTCAGGTTCGGTACGACTGGACCCTCCGAGCCTACACATAACTAACCTCCAATCACCCTCTCAGGTTCGGTATGTGGATCTCTCTCTCTCTCTCTCTCGGCAGCATCTGGCTACAGCGCAAGCGTTTGACAGGGACACGCATGCACGCATGTGGATCCATAGGACATTGAGATTTTGAAAAGGAGTGACTGTAGGTCAATACTCCAGTTTAGTTCACAGGTCATGTCTGGGTGGGGGGAATCTGCGAAGCTGGGGCGTTGAAAATGATGGCATCTTCCAGATGTGCCAAGGGGGTTCTGGGGGAGAGAGCGTTCCTCCGTGAAACGATGGCGTTAGTAGAGGAAAGAACCTTCTTCAATTCGTGGCCAGAACGTCCACTTCCATATTTGTTGCCCTAGTACATCCAGTCGTACCTTGTCAGGTACGGTGAGAAGACACACTTCGTCCTGTCTATGTGGGTGCCAGGAGGGTTGGTGCCAGGAGCCTTCGATTTTGGTTCCTTGTTTTTCTTCTCACAGCTTGGAACATCCGTTCGTCATGCGGCTTCCACATCACGGGGGCGGGCGTGGCAGCACGGTCTCCTTTCTGCATGGGGGCTGCGGGGACGCAGCATCCATTCGGGACGAACATGCATGTTATACAGATGTCACTTGCCAGGCTCCTTGGAGTTTAGTGCTGCTACTACTACTGCTACTACTACTGCTATATAAATATATATATATATCTCCCTTCCTCTTTCAAGGGAAAACATGGGGAAAACCCATACGACGGGAACATGGTGACGTCTCACCGATGTGGCCGACCGTGGAAGGAGGGTCGTCGAGGGAAGACGTGGCACATCGAGGGAAGACCACGAAGAGCACACATTGGGTTGGCTGCGGGTCGGTGGTTTCGGTCATATTCATCATCAACAACGTACAACAACCAACATAGTTAACATATAGAAACGAGACTCACCCAATTGATCATCAAAGAGCCAGGATTGAAACCTAGACTCATCCAGGTTCTTGCCGCGCCTGTCCACCAAGGTTGAAATCTGCCCTTTTTCCGCCTCAACTGTCCAGGTGCTGTGCAAATAGGTCTTCTTCGGTTCCAATCCCCAACTGTTCACTGTAGACGTCCCAAACCGTGTCATCGACCTTCTCGCACGGCGTGCCCTGCATTCGGTGGAGCTCCTCAAACTTGTCGCCCGGCACGATCCTGAGATTTTCAGCCGAAAACATCGCACGAAGCAAGACCACAGCTGGCAGGTTAACATGAAGAAGTGACGACACGAAGCTGCTTCAACAGCAAGTCACACAAACGAAGGCAGAATCTGCCCAACCATGTCGTCTCCTTGAAACACACGCGCTCTCGCACACACACGCGTGCGCACACACTCGCCTGGTGATCTTGGGGTCCACCTTGATGCCCAGGGGGTTCTCCGTCGAGTGCTGCGGGTACCAGGCGCTCACCGAGCTGGTGACCAGGCGGAAGTATTGTCGATGGGCAGCGGAGTCCAAGGCCACCGACTCGTGCGGGGTGCAATCACTCATCCAATACCTGGGCTATGGGCACATGTATAGCACGGGAGCTTGTCCCTCTTCCCGGGAGGAAAAGTCTGTTGCACCCAAAACATGAGCTTGAAAGGTGCATGATCTTAGTAGCTACGAGCTACCAAGGCATCTAGTTTGGGGGGGGGCCAAAGCAACACGCATTTGTCATTTCAATGACCGTCACCTGGCACCTGAGATGCAAAGCTGGCAGTTATAAGTTACCTTAAGGATCCTTGGACCTGCACACAACTTTGAACCCTCTGCATCCTCATAAGGGACTGTCTCAGGCACCGTCAGAGTGGGGGCAGGCTCTGGCACCTGTTGGAACAATCTTGAGACAGCAATCCGTTTCTACTAATTGGATCTAATTGGTATTCTCAAGGGACCGTTGTCCACGGTCCCAAAGAGAACCGAGTCATGCGCTTTTTTCCCATTGACCGAGATTCACCTTTCAACCGATCTATATATATGTATAGGTAAACAATTATAAATATATTGCCATATTATATATGCCATAAATATACCTACATGCCTGGACAATTTGTATATTCAATATATATATAATTAATACTATCTGCATGGAAATATCTGGAATAGATACAGTACATCTGGAAAGCCAATCCATGTCTTCATAAATATGGATTCCTTTCACACATTTGAGACGCAAAGGAGGCCGTTTTCGTACGCGTTTTCGCGTCCGCGCAAACGGTGCCCCCGCTGTCGCCCAGCGGCAGGGTGTCCGCCTCAGAGAACTCGCCCGGTCCCAGAACTGGACGCAAATGTTCCAAGTCACCCAGGGCGCCACAAATCCTGGGCGGCATCGCCCGTCCGACGGCCGACGTACGTGGGTGTTGCGGCCGACTTCGGGATCGATCGTGGTGGGACGGGAACAAAGACCGTGAAGAACATGGGATAAAGAAGAACATGGGATAAAGAAGAAACACCAAGCATATACCGTACCTGTCATTTATACGAAAGACCAGGATCTCTTCAGGGTCGTTGAAACGAAGGTTCCAAAATCTGGTGGAGCCAGCAATGCTGGAGGCGGTGTAGATCCCACCCTCGAAGCGCTTGTGGGCCCAAATGGGGTAGCCTGCGTCCTCGCTCAGCTCCGAAAGTTCTGCTTCCTCCGCCTCCGCCACCGGCGGCTCGTCCAGCTCGTAGACCGGCAGCGACGACGGAGACCCGGATGCCTCAGCGGACTCTGAAAGCTCCCCGTCGGAATGTTGCAGAAGACGTAGCCAAGGCACCTGGGAATTGGCGGTGGGGTTCGGGAATCTGGGAGAAGAAGTAAAAACATGATCCCTAGAGGGCTCCGAACGCCCCATCTCCTCAGGTGAGTAAGGTGGTATTCGACCCCCTGGCATCCACCCCAACCATCTTCTCAGGAGGTGGGCCATGGAGCCCTAGCACATGGGCCGATCCCTGCAGCCACCAAGCGGCACCTTCTTCTTCTGATATCGCTCGAAGAGACGGCCCCCCCCCCAGCGGGCGGTGGTCAACAGCATACGCCCCTCGGACATGAGAACACCTGGCGTCTCTAAATGCAAACCTTGACGTCGTTGAGAAGCGCCAGGGCTCACATCGCTCTCCTGAACTGTGAGGAAGCCCACCTTCCCAAGTTCCTTTTTGGGCAATCGACATGCCTCAATCATGGGCCAGTAGGACTGCAAGTTGCTGGGCAAAGACTTGGGATCTCCCATGATGAAGGGCATCATATTCACATCCACTCCACTGGAGGCTGGGAACTTCACCCTGCACAAGCGCGAGAAGCCGCAGCGCTTCCATGCGCCCAGTAGCTGATGGCGATAGGCGCGCAGGGGCGGCTGCAAGAGCACCGAAAGTGTGTCGACATCGTCGGCATCCACGGCGTCGCCGACGCGATTTCCGGCTAATTCGCCTGTTTTGCCCAAAAGTCGCACCTCGAAGGGTTTCGTGGTCGAACGCTTTTCAGATTCCAACAAACCATGAGTCTAAGAATTTTAGACTACAAATCCAGGACAACATGTTGTAATTTGAAGGATAGATTCTTTTTTGGTATACATCACCCGCAATGCTGGGTGAGTGTGGGGCTAAATTTTGAATTTTGGGAATCACTCAATCACATACCTTTAAGGGGTGAGGTGTGTGTCATGAGTGAACCGACTCGTACCGTAGATTGGCAACACATGATGTCGATGATGGAGACCTACTGCTAAGGACTGTCCTCACCCCATCGTTTCCAAAGGGCAATGATGTCCCGATACTTCCTCTCTGGTCATAGCAGTTTTTTTTTTGGGGGGGGGGGCAGGCAGTGTCTCATGAAATTGGTTGAAAGCCTTCTGCTTGAGGCTTGATGTGTGGTGCTACTCGCAACCTCGCATTCAAGTCACTCTCAGCTCACTTTCAAGTGAGTGAGGCAGTTCAATCATATCAACCAACTGCTCCATTGGTCTTCCAGTGGAGTCTTCCAACAGCTCTTTGGAGACCCAAAGCCCCAACCTGGAGAAGGCCTACGCCCAAAGCATAGGCTGCACGCCGCTGGAGATCCACCAAAGCCTCCTCTGCACCCACCGGTGGTGACAACGTGAGCGCTTTGCCGCTGGCGGTGTGCAACCGTGACACGACGAAGGCGGCCGCCATAGCAATCGCCAAACCGAAGGCGATGGGGAAGGGAACACGATGAGGGTGCCACAACTCGATGCCATAAATCTTAGGCGAAGCAACCTCTGGATACGAACTGAATCTGACTCGGGAGCGCAAAATTTAGCTTTCGGCCTTATTCAGTTCAATACCAACAAACAACACATTGTATAGATGACTCACCATCACAACTTGACTTTTTTGACATCGACTTGATGAAGCAAACACTATATTGTCCTATTTTGTTCTGATGGGGTGATATAGGATTGCCACCAGGATCGCCCAAACTTCCACTGACTCACTTTCTCACACCTAGCCGGGCCTAGCTGATAAATGAGTCATACAACCAAGATAAAACATGATAAAACATGTTACCAGGACTTTCGGGGAAAAACAACACATCCGAGATATTCCGAGCACCTCCCTTTTGACTGCGATGTTTTCTCCTAGCAGCCTCTACCTGCCCACCCTTGGTGGGCAAGCAAACGGAGCAGGCTCAACAGGAAGCGGTCGATCGCTTAGCGATGGTGCACTTCCAGTCTCGGCTGGGGTCAGGCTGCTTCAAGACTGGTCTGAACATGTCTAAACCAAAAGCACTGGCTCTTTCCAAAAGTGGTTCATGGTGAACATATGAAAATCCTGGCCAAAGCCAAAGCGTGCGAACTGAAGAAATCGGAAGATCCATCAAAACTACTGCCCCATTCCACGCTAAACTCTCTGGATGTCTGATCTTCGTCCCTGCACATGCGCTGTCCAACTCAGGCGGAAAAGACCATGCCATTGGGCTGTCGAGGCAGTGGGAATCGCATCGAGATTGTGTGAATCACCTGCGGCCGCCCAGGCTGAAGGTCCGGAAGAACCAAAGCTACTAGGAGCAAGAAGCTACTAGTAGCAAATAGCTACTACAGTAGCAAGGGGCATCGCTACTAGGAGCAAGAAGCTACTAGTAGCTCCTGGCATCGCTAGCAGTCGGTAAACAAGAACATCACTATTTTAGAGGAAGGCCTGCAACTAGCCAATCATCATCATCATCCACTGTTACAGGGAATCGGACACACCCAAGCCCTATAAACTCTGAGTTCCCCCTTGAGCCTGTAGAGATGTAGGGAGAAGGAGATGATCTACCATGCTTGGTGGAAGCCTCAAAAATGAGGCTCTTCAAAGCTTTCCAGACTGACTTCCCGGCACATCCACTGGATCAACCGGGAAGATTCAACATGGAACCTAACAATTTGTGAACCCTTTGATTTTAGTATCCCAAACGCTGTATGCCATATTTGCCTCGTTGGGGTGGTGCCAGGGGGGTCAGTGTAGGCATATATATATATATATGGCAGTCCCAAACAGGTCGTGTTTGGGAGTTTGGGGTATGATAGTAGTAACAAGGGCATCGCTACTAGGAACAAGGGCATTACTAGTAGTAACAAGAATCTCCTAGTAGCGATGCCCCTTGCTACTAGTAGCTATTTGCTACTAGTACCGACACGCCCAACATAGGGCCTAGGGCTATCAATGACCCTCTCAACACATCTCAACCCTCATCCACCTCCTTCTCCCTCTTCATCTCCTCGCGCATGTGCTCCGGCAAAGGGCTCCGTGGCTTCACGACGAAGGGTAACATGGCTCGCTCGCCCAGGCAGCCCACCTGGGTGTTACTGGTGACTCCTCGACGAACCCGCGTCCGGTCTGCCGAAATCTGACGAACCTGGTCCTGAGGTTCCATCGAGTGGATTTTTCTGTATGATCAAGGTCCCAAAAACATCAAAAAGCAAGGTCTTGAATGGGACTGCCATATATGCCGATCAGTTGGGGTGGTTTTGGGGGTCAATGTAGGCATATATCATATATGGCATACATGGAGTGTCTGGGAGCTATCTAGAGATGATCTGAGCGTACCGGAGCTTCAGAAGGGACTGAATGTGATAGAATTGGTGACATGACATGACTTGACCATCTTCGCACGAACTAGCCAACTGGTACATGCGCCATATTTACCAGACGATGGGGATCCCTCTGTTGATGACCCATTTCATTGGGCCAGCTCGTTCTACCCAAAGCTTGAACTAAAACTTTTGCAACCTTCCTGCCTTCCTTAGAACCAACGCTCAGGTCAGGCCAAATCGTCTTTTCGAATGAGGGATCAATCCCTGCCTCCCCTCCCAAGCGGAAATGGCATGAAATGGCCAGTCACCTATAGCCCTTCCGAACAGTGTTTTGAACACAACGGACTCTGACTCCTCAAGCTAGGCTAACGCTTCTTGTCATCTCCCTCTGCTTCCTTCCAAGCTGCTTTCTCCCAGCTATCCTCCTTCATGAAGAACCGGCCTCCTGCATTCCGGTCCCGGGTCATTGGCTCCGTTGTCGAAACCTGAGCCCTCGCGCCGGAGCTTCTCCGCCGCGCCCGCGCCACGGTGTGCGCCACGCGTGTTTCCAGGTGCCTTCGCAAGGCATCTGGGCTCAAGTTCATCAAGTCGCTCCCACCTGAATCTGTGAGGGTTTTCTGGAGATTTTGGGTTCAAAATGGTTCAAAAATGTTCAAAGGTCTTTCAGCATGTCAAATGACGGTCTGTTGCGCCTCGTCTATGGGGTTTCCCGAAAATCTCAGGGAGGCAAAGCAACAAGAGGTGAGCGTCTGATATTACATCGGTGCATGCGCTTTGCACCATAGAAACATTACAAAACTGACAAAACGCATTTATATGCAAAATCTACCCGATAGGAGTCCAAAGACTATGATTTTCCTTACATAGTCTATAGTGAAGTAAAGGAAAATCCTTTTCAGGTCCCCTATATATTCCTTCCAAAGTCTTTGACTCTCGGGGTATATATATATATACCCCGAAAAGGATTCCACAAGACTGCCGTCTATGAATCGGCCAAGCGTCTGAGCTGGGGACATGATGCACTCAAATGATGGATCTTCTTTTCTCCAGTCTTCCGGATCTTCTGAAGGCTCACTCCATTCACCAGATCTGGCGTGTTGTCCAAAGTGTAGAGGAGCCTTTCAAAGGCCCAAGGGTAGGAGTATTTCAAGGCGCCATACTGAGACCGCTTCGAGTGGGGCAACATGGCGCAGCGAGGCTCGGCTCGCACGCCCGCGGTTTCACGCCGCGCGAGCCGATTGAAAAATCGGCTCGGCTGGAAGCCCAAGAGCCCATGGAGGAGCGGATCGGATTCTGTCCACGCCAAAGGTGAGTCAGTTATGGTTCTTCGTACTTGATTTAGCAAAGGCCTCTCTTTGGGGACTCCTTGTTACTATATAGTCTATATAGCTTCTTGTTTCTAGTTGCGATGACCTCCAATTTGCGATGGCCTCCACGTAATAGCATCCTTGCCCGAGTAAAACGCTCCTCATTCTTTCCAACCGCCACCAGGTGATCCCCAGTGGCTGGCCACCCCACCGGTCCTGTGTAGAATCGCCAGCGCCGCTCCCCAGACGGATGCCTTTTCACAGGCGCCGATCGCTGCATTCCACCCGACGAGATCCGCCTCTGGAGAGGCGAAGCAAACTGGTGGCAGATCCCAATTCAGTGGGTTTACTATAGCCCAGATGCTCCATGGGACTGCCATAGGACTGCCGATCAGGCCAGGGGTGGTGCCAGGGGGGTCAATGCTATAGGCATATATGGCATACATGGAGTGTCTGGGATATGTCTGGGATAGGTCACTAGCCTCCCTCCAACAAACATGGAAAAGGAGAATAACAAATTGTCAGGTTGACGTTCCCAGTCATGCGATCAAAACCTGGATCTAGTTGCTAAATCCCAAATTGTGTCGCTAGTGGAGGGAATGAACAACCACCCATTCTTGCTTTCCATCGTTCGATCCATCTAACATAAAGCCTACTCCAAAGGCATTCGGGTCTCGCCACTAGCACTGCCTCGTGGCGGATCTTACACCCACCTCGGTCGGGTGGACAGGTAGGTCCGCAAAACGTCAAGAGCATCAGCTGCACTCCTGTCTTGGTCCGGCCCTGTCTTGGTCGAAGTGCGACTGTAAAAAACACGTGTTCGGGGAGTCAAGGACAATTCCCCACATCAGGTCCTCACATCTGTTCCAGACCGGTTGATCATCAGACCTCTCAGAGGGTTTCTACAGACCTTAGGGTTTTTTACAGACCAGTCAGCACTCTCAGTCATTCTCCTCCTCTTCTCGCTCCCTCTCTATCCTGACATTCAGCCACTCATTTCAGTTCTCTAGATCCTGACATTCAGCACTCCAAAGGGAGAAGGCTCTTGGAATCGGAAGCTCAAGGCCTCTACCGTCGCATCCTGAAGCTGTTGTAGCAATGCCAAACCACATGGCCACTGTGCGCCACAGCGGTGGATGGCCGCATTAAAGGCTGGCAAATAGGGCTCTAGCTGCTCCTCGAAAGCTCATGGCACATGCTGCATTTCACCAAGGCGCATGGCTCGAGAATGTCCAGATGGTATGAAAACAAATCAAGTGGCTCCAAGTACCAAACGACATGAAAAAGCATGCATCGACATGAACAAACAACATACACTCGTGTCGCGCGCAACTCGTGAAGGCGGCCATTGATACCCTCTATGTTCGATCTGCGAATTCTTATCCTTGAGCATCTGTTTTAGGAAAATGCCAAAGTTACCCAAGGAAAGCGAAACATCGATCGATATCCACCATATGTCTATCTTCCGGGCTTCTGCCGAGATCGCTGATATCTTCTGAAACTGAAGGCATTTTTGGTCTAAGTGGCAACACTCGCAGAACCAAAAGCCGCCAAACCCGCCCTATCACCCTCCAAGCAACGTCCGTCCTGAAGCATCTCCTTGAGGAGCTGCAGCGACAAGGGCCACGGGGTGTCGCAGTTGATGGTTGAACTGTAGCTGATCTCCTTTGCATCTTGCTGTGTCAAACAAGAATTCAGGCTTGGCCACCCACAAACAGGAACAACAGAGGTAGGTTCGCACATGTTTGCATGACATGCGCACCATATTGCAAAGATTACTTAATATGTACCGTTTCATGATCACATTGAT